AAATTAAGTCAAGAATGCCTGAGTGACAAGAAACTGCTAGAAAACACTTTAGAAAGTGGTTGGACATAAAACTGGGTTAAATTGTGCTAAATTGGACATGTCTATGTCCAGATCTCTGAAGGTCCAGCACAAATTCTAAAATTGGTTTTAACTGTTTGGCACATTTTAATTTGTGTATACCTTTTAGCAAAGATAATATGGACAGAAAACTTCATTAATTTTCTTCAGAATTTCATTAGATAGTTAAATTAATAGACCACAAGGAGCTTGAAGCTCCATCTAGCTAAGATACACACAATCTTTGCTGCCCAAGAATCTAAGTAACATATCAGGAGGCCTGAACAAAATGGCACATACCACACTAGCTAGGACTAGTTGTGGAGAGGAGACAGTTCCCCTGAAAGAGTGGACTGTCATTTTCTTTAAAAAATAAAAAAATTAAAAAAAAAAACCGGCAAACTGGACCCCTTCCTGACACCTTACACCAAAATTAACTCTAGATGGATTAAAGACTTAAACATAAGCCCTAACACCATAAAAACCCTAGAAGAGAGGCCGGACACAGTGGCTCAAGCCTGTAATCCCAGCACTTTGGGAGGCCGAGGCGGGTGGATCACAAGATCAAGAGATCGAGACCATCCTGGTCAACATGGTGAAACCCCGTCTCTACTAAAAATACAAAAAATTAGCTGGGCATGGTGGTGCGTGCCTGTAATCCCAGCTACTCAGGAGGCTGAGGCAGGAGAATTGCTTGAACCCAGGAGGCAGAGGTTACGGTGAGCCGAGATCGCGCCATTGCACTCCAGCCTGGGTAAGAAGAGCGAAACTCCGTCTCAAAAACAAAAAAAAAAAAAAAAAAAAAAACCCTAGAAGAAAATCTAGGCAAAACCATTCAGGACATAGGAGTAGGCAAGGACTTCATGAACAAAACACCAAAAGCATTGACAACAAGAGCCAAAATAGACAAATGGGACCTAATCAAACTCCAAAGCTTCTGCACAGCAAAACAAACAATCATTAGAGTGAATCGGCAACCAACAGAATGGGAAAAATTTTTTGCAGTTTACCCATCTGACAAAGGGCTGATATCCAGAATTCACAAAGAACTAAAACAGATTTACAAGAAAAAAAACAAGCCCATTCAAAAGTGGGCAAAGGATATGAACAGACACTTTACAAAAGAAGACATACATGAGGCCAACAAACATATGAAAAAATCCTCATCATCACTGGTCATTGGAGCAATGCAAATCAAAACCACACTGAGATACCATCTCACACCAGTTAGAATGGCGATCATTAAAAAATCTGGAGACAACAGATGCTGGAGAGGATGTGGAGAAACAGGAACACTTTTACACTGCTGGTGGGAGTGTAAATTAGTTCAACCATTGTGGAAGACAGTGTGGCGATTCCTCAAGGACCTAGAAATAGAAATTCCATTTGACCCAGCAATCCCATTACTGGGTATATACCAGAGGAATAAATCGTTCTACTATAAGGACACATACACAGGAACGTTCATTGCAGCACTGTTTACAATAGCAAAGACCTGGAACCAACCCAAATGTCCACTGATGATAGACTGGACAGGGAAAATGTGGCACATATACACCATGGAATATTGTGCAGCCATCAAAAATGATGAGTTCGTGTCCTTTGTAGGGACATGGATGAACCTGGAGAACATCATTCTCAACAAACTGACACAAGACCAGAAAATGAAATACCGCCTGTTCTCATAGGCGGGTGTTGAACAATGAGAACACATGGACACAGGGGAGGGGAGCACTACACACTGGGGTCCGTTGTGGGGAACAGGGGAGGGACAGCAGGGGGTGGGGAGTTAGGGGGGAGATAGCATGGGGAGAAATGCCAGATATAGGTAATGGGGAGGAAGGCAGCAAATCACACTACCACGTGTATACCTATGCAACTATCTTGCATGTTCTTCACATGCACCCCAAAATCTAAAATGCAATTAAAAAAAAATCTAAGCTAAACAACAGGATTGTCCCAAAAGTAAGCAGAGAAATACAACACTAATTAGCCAGTTCACAGGATATGAAAAGCAACAGATGCCATATTTAGAGCCAGAGATACAGAAATTCATGTATAAACTGAATTAAAAAGATAAATCTGGCCGGGTGCAGTGGCTCACGCCTGTAATCCCAGCAGTTTGGGAGGCTGAGGCGGGTGGATCACCTGAGGTCAGGAGTTCAAGACAAGCCTGGCCAACATGGCAAAACCCCATCTCTACTAAAAATATGAAAAAAGTTAGCAAGGCGTGGTGGTGCATGCCTATAATCCCAGCTACCTGGGAGGCTGAGGCAGGAGAATCACTTGAACCCAGGAAGCAGAGGTTGCAGGGAGCCAAAATCTCACCACTACACTCCAGCCTGGGCAACAAGAACAAAACTTCATCTCAAAAAAAAAAAAAAAAGATAAATCTACAGATAAACAGAGGAAGCCAGACAATAATGAAAGACTAAAACAACATACAGAGAACTGTGAGACTATCCAAGAGGGCATGTAAAAGAAACAGTGTGACTGGCCCTCATAGCTGCCTTAGTTCCCAGCTGCTTTCAAATAAACCTCCAGTCTCTGTTCCCCATAACGAGTCCAACATAAGTCACACATGATAACCACTTCCAAGTATTTCCCTTTCCCTCTATAGAGTATAACCTATTATTACTGTCTGCCCAGCCTCCCGTTTCCCTTTCCTGTGAAAGATAAACCATTCCATCTGGTTTATATAGGGCTGATATCACATCCAACACCCCATCCTTCTCATAATACATACACATTCACACTCCCTTTCTGTCAACTGGCTCTTATGCACTCCCACCCTCTCTCACTAGCCCACGTGCTCTTTCAAGTGTTCATTTTCCTACACATGCTCTCCTCACTCTCTCCTACACGCTCACCTACACAAACAGGAGTGACTATGTGACTCACAGCCAAGCAATCTGAATACCCATTCCACTAGCCTCAATGATTTGTTCAAGGCTGTGTAACAGACCACAGGCCAGCAAAAGTCATCTCCATCACTTTCATGCAAGAGTCTATCAGTGGTCAAACTGCCAGCCCTGAGAAACAGACAAAGAGGCAGACTGCTAACACATTACATACTTGTGACTGTACACTATCCTTGGTACTCAGGACAAAGCCATTCTTTTCCCTTAAACTTAAGATTTGAAACCCTGAAGAAGTCCTAATATCTTCAAGACCTATAAACTAGAGATTTGGGGCAGACTGAGGAACTCATCCATTCCTCTACCTATCTCTAGCAGCAGAGTAGTCTGAAGGACTTCTAATAAGTTTCCCAAATAAAGACTATAAATTGCCTCTTCCATCATTCCCAAAGAGCTGTTGAAATGGTCACAGAAAGGAACAGACCAACCCACCATTCCAAGTTTGAAAAGCTAACAACATTCACATGAAATTTAGTCTTTTGAGGCAAACATACACTCACACATTCAATAGCACTTTAGCAACTAAATTTATTTGTCTCTACTTAATTTACTGTCTGTGTCCCTCCATTAGTCACTTTAAGAGCAGAAATTGGATTGGTCTCGTTTACAACACCTGGCAAACGGCAGATGCGCTATAATAATTTCGTAAAGAATAAATATAAAATGCCTATTCACACACTTATTCTATAATCATATATTACTTTGGCCTGAGAACCCATTATTTGTAAAGAACTCTACCAGGCACTATGGGAGTTACAAGGACCTCATATGAACTCAATTATCAAAGAACTTGTACCTGGACTCTTTGTGGCCACAAATCCTTTTTGATCTTCTGATGAAAACAGGGGCATTTTGTCTAGAAAAATACCTAAGCAAATATGCTAAGACTTTGCATTAAATCTGAAGAAATGCTTAAGGTAAGAATTCCAGATCTAGTAAGATAAGACAATGATATGTATGCATTTACAGAAGTATTGTGGTCTTTCCTTTGTTGATTATACTCTAATAAGAAACTTAACGTAGAAAGATGATCAAGAGACAAGCAAATAAGACCAAACAAGTCTCCTACTTTCAGAAAATAGCTGTAAGTTGGGAGCCTTTGTGTACAAAGACCACTAAGAAATACCAACATATCTGTAGCACGAAAACATGAGTCACTGATTAAGTTGCAAACAAATCCCAAGGTTTTCAATGTATAAAGCATAAGCGAGACAGAAAATTTCTTGTTATGAGTAGAGAAAAAGACAAATAATTAACACTGGTAGAATCCATTCATTAAAAAAGGCTCCGGAGTCCTGTAGGCTTTATTTTTTCAAATCTTGCATTAAGCTATCTTAACAATTTAAGTGTTATAAAATAATTACGATTGGTGATCATTAAATATTTTTAAAGCATTAATAATTAAAAGTACACGCAGGGGTGGAAAAAAAAACAATGTGGTAACATAGCCTACATTCTGAAATTCTTCTGAGAAGCCGTTCCTCTTGGGTCACAGGGTTCAGTCAGACTAGTATCATCCTCCCAAGGATGGTTTACAGCACAGGAGGAAATAACCTTTAAGAGTTAACTTTGCAAACCAAACCTATCAAGTGCCAATAAATACCATTCTATAATTAACTGTAATCATAAAAACGCTCCAAAAACTTCAAGTAAACAGAAATCCTAACAAGCCTCAATCCTTTGAATTTCACTTTCTACTTCTCTAAATGCAATCAATACATTTTCTGACTTGTAGACCAAAAAAATAAAAATAAGAAATCTTCTTTAGGGAATGCAAAAAAAATGGAAAGTTCAAAGCTGAAGTTGCCACAATCAGAACCATTATCAAATGTGAGAGTCAGAAGCAACCTTAGAATTATCTAGATCACTACTCTCTTACATAAGAAAGCCAAGACACGGCAAAAGCATGCCCATTAAGCTGAGAATGGACTTCAAATTTATGGAGCAGATAGAGGCAAAATTAGATCAATATCGGTACCAGAATATATTTTAAAACATTCAAACTAAGTACATCTAGGTACTTACGTTAAGAAGTAATTCATCTTTTGTTTTAAGAGGAAAATTCTTATTTTCCTTCTCAACTTGTAAATCATCGTCTCCATCTGACAGCACTGGAGGAAGTGATACACAAGAGGAAGAAGAGGAAGATGAGGAGGAAGATGAGGAGGAAGACGATGAGCTTGAACTATCTGAATCTGTTTCACTGTAGGGAATAAAAAAGTTTTAAAAAAAGTACAGTATTATAATGACATTAAAATAATATTATTCAACTAAGAAATATCATCTTTACTACATCTTTACTATTGCTGTTCTAATTCAAAAGCTAGAACCTCAAAGCTGATATATTGGGAGAATAGTCTTTAGTCTACCAGTAACATTTTTCAACCTCTGCTATAACCCAGATCCTCTTATGACAATAGTCTCACATATCATACACCTGTCTGAATATAAGCAAGCATGTGACAAATCACCAAGAAAAGGCAACAAACTCTGGGCATGGCACCTCACTTAGGCACCAATAACCAGATTGCTTAATTACCAATGAGTTTCTTCTCAATATCCAGACAACTTGGGGAATTCTGTTACTAAATTATGTGGACCGTTCCACTTTCTGAAAACTCACTTGGTACTTACCTTCCACAGAAATTATCGTTAACAGCAACTACTGTTTCAGTTTAAATTTTGTTTGTTGGCTCCTCACTTCAAGCACTTTTATGTACTATTTTTAAGGGTTCTCTCACTTCCTCCTCTTTCTGCATTACTTCCTGGATAATCCCATAAACGTTAATGATTTCAATCATCATCCATGTGACATTAACGCCTAAATCTTCAGCTAGGACATCTCTGAACTCCATATCCAATCTCTCACTGCATATTGGCCACCGTTGTATGAATGGCCTACACATATCACACTTGCAGCAAGTTAAAACAAGGAAAAGTGCATGATCCTAACTAAATCTGTTCTCCCCTTCAGTTTCCATTTGATTTCACTGCTGAAACAAGCAGAAAGTTGTATCCCTTTTGATTTTTTCAAATATTTGGTATTCTCTGCCATCACCCACAAGGAGAGTCAAAGTGGCACCCTGACACTAAGTTGGCCTATTATGATGCTATATTCCTTCTGCTTTCAAAACTTATCCCCAAATTTTTCCTTGCTAGTAAAATGAATTCTAAAATCCCACAAAACGACCATACTGCAATCTTAGTACTGCCAAGAAATCCAACCTTGTTCACAGTTACTCCCCCTCCCAGTGTACTTCACACCCTCTCCTTCTACTCAAATCTTTCAGCCTTCTCCACTCACCCACTGATGACCTTCCTGAAAACTAAACTTCTCACCTCCTCACCACGTGTCTATGTTGTTAACCTGTTTAGTACCCCACTCAACGCACTCAACTATTTGTGGACAATGTTCAGTGTGGTTTAGTAATAGCCCACATGCTGGAGTTCTCTCCAGCCCAAAGGTTTCGTATTTAAAAGACAGAAGTGGGGGAAGGGGAAAAGGCTCTCATAAAACGTTAAGAAGCATAAAATACTCCTAAATAACAGTTTAGCTACTTTCACGAACACGTGTTACCTACAAGGACTCTATACATTTACATAATTATCAAGAGTCAGCTTTGAAAGAAAATAATCCTTTTTCTGATCTCAATGTATCTGGTTCAAAAAACAAGGCCGAAAAGTGATGGAAAAAAAAATCAGAACTGATATAAAACTCATTATAACCACAAAAATACAGCCTAAACTGAATAATTACGGAAATAACCTAAGATCCTCGAGTTTTCTAAAACTGATACGATCTATATACATAGAACCCATCAGGTTACCAAATCTAGGAAAGGAGAACTAAGCTCAGATTCACAACGCGACCTGCTGAAAGAGGTAGCGAATAATGGGCACAGAGCCAACACGTCAACACGTGCGCCCGGAGCATCAGCGACCTGCCCCACCCTCCAGGGCCCACACCCGCAACCTCTAGGCTCCTAGGCCCCGGCTTCCCCTGCCCGTCCTACAAGACCTCTCCCCACAGCTCCGGGTCCTGCAGGCACCCGACCTGTCCGAGTCCGAGTCCGACTCCGAGGTCTCCAAGTGGTCCGGGGCCCGCGCAGGCTCTGCGGCTCCCGGGGAGGTGACGCAGTCCCCGCAGGCCGGCGATTCAGCTGGAGGCTGTGGCTGCGGCGCTGGGGTCCCGGCCGGGATGGCGTTCAGAAAGGGCTGCAGCGGCTGCTCCCCGGCAGGCTTAACCTCCACGGTCTGCCCAGTGTCCGGGGACCCCTCATGCGACTGTAGCGACGGCTGTGTCCCTGGCGCAGTAGCGGAGCCCGGAGACGCCGCCGCTGGACCTTCGCCAACTCCAAAGCCAGTGCCATTGAATTTCAGAGTTTCCAGCTGAGCGGCAGCGGCCTCCACTACCTCCATTGCACCGAGCCAGAAAACCGAATTGGCCTAAGGACTTGGGCCCGAGGACAACCTCACGGCTCTCTCCAGAAATAAAACAATTTAGGCTACAGGAGCAACAGTGCCCCGGCCCAACTTCCCGCGTTTCTCAGGTAACTACATGCGGAGGGACCAAAAGACACGCCTCCGCCGTTTACGCAGCGGCGCTTTCCGGAGAGTTTGTGACGTATGTGGCGCGACGGCGCTCACCCGGGACGGGACGCATGCGCCGGACCTTCGGCAAGCAGTACTGGGGAGGCCCTAAATCGGCAATTTTCATGCGTCATGTAAAACATGCAAGGCCTAAAGGCCGGGTTTTCCTGTTGCTGGATGTGAACCAAATCTGCTCGAAGCGCCAGAATGAAGCAGGGATTATACCACAGGGGAGATGCCTGAAGAATGCTAGGTTCTGTACATCAGAAACTTGAGCCAGGAAGACACCAGTAACTTCATGAAACTTAAATGAAGTTGATCCATCGATAGATCCATCTGTAGGTAGCGGATTAACCATTTATTTCAAAACTGTAACTATAACTATTCCATTTTCCAAAATATCCTCAAAGACAGCAGTAATGGACGAAATTTTGCTGTTAATGTTACAGTGATGTCTATATCATACTTGGGAGAAAGGAGAGATAAGACTGAAATGTACTCACTTAATATTGGAAACCACTAATCTAAATTGTGAAGAGAGCAAGCAAAAAACAGTTCTTAGGACTGAGGAAGAGATCAGAATTTTCCGGTTTCCTAATAGGTCTTCAATTCGATGCATCAGTCCCTGCATAATAATTATCATTGGTACCGTTTGTTAAACATGCATCTGTTCTTGTTTAGCCAAGAACTGTGCTAAAGATTTTCGAAATTATTCACTGAGAATTTACTGTGCCATCTACACTAGTAGATCTTCGTAGAAATGCAAGGCAAGTGTAGTAAGAGTAAGGTGTTAAGAAACTTACAATCTACTTGAAGTAGAGAAGGGCAATGCCCAGGAGATAACTAGAAAGATATTTGAAATATGAAATAGAAAATCCAAGTGCAGCAGAAAAGCGAAGTTAAGTAGGATTGGTAGGCTATACCATGGAAATCCTCCAAAGTGAAGAGGAATTTAAACTTGGGATATTAGTAGCACAGTGATTAAGCTGAGTTCAGAGTTTTCAGCTAAAAAGACCTGTGTTCAGCCCTCAGCTCTACCATATGTCATTGGTGTAACTGTGACTGTGGATAGGTAACCTAAATCTTAATTCCTTTATCTGTAAAATAGAGATAAAAATACTAACTACCGTTTTGTCATTGGTGTAACTGTGATTTTGGGCAGGTAACCTAAATCTTAATTTCCTTATCTGTGAAATGGAGATAAAAACACTATCTCATTTAGTTCATGTAAGCATTAAATAAGGTTACGTATAAGGGAATGGAATGTCATACATTCATTATGCAAAAATACTTGGAAAAGGGAACAGTGTATGTACTCACAAATAAAATATTTCATTGACAATGATCTTGCAAAGACATGATGCAGTACAGATTTGAGAAGGGAAGACATTTGAGCCAGAATTATTCTCCAGCCAGTCACTTTGTTGCATTTTTCCAAGAATTAGGTGATAAAAGTCTGAACTAGGGTTACAGTCAATGAAATAGGGTAAAGGAAGTCCCCAGTATCAGGAGAAGAATAAAAGTACTCTAAAATTTCTGACCAAGTAAATTATAAAGAAGTTGGTATTACCAATAGAAATGGAGAAGCTGGCCAGGTACAGGGCCTCACACCTGTAATCCCAGCATTTTGGAAGCCAAGGCTGGCAGATCACCTGAGACCAGGAGTTCGAGACCAGCCTGACCAACATGGTGAAACCCTCTCTCTACTAAAAATACAAAAAATTAGCTGAGTATGGTGGCGGGCACCTGTAATCCCAGCTACTTGAGAGGCTGAGGCAGGAGAATTGCTTGCACCCAGGAGGCAGAGATTACTATGAACTGAGATTGTGCCATTGCAATCCAGCTTGGTCAACAAGAGGGAAACTCCCTCTCAAAAAAAAAAAAAAATTGGAAAAGTTGAAAAGAGATGTGAGTATGTGAAGTTGAGGCTGAAGAAAATCTAGACAACTGGAAATGTCAATAGGTATTTGAAAATAAGAAATTAGAATTTGACAGAAATGTTAAGACCAGAAGCATAAGTTATGGGATAATCAAAATACTCATTTGTTCATTCAGTAATCATTTTCTTAACATTACTATATGATATGCACTACATTATAACCTGTGCATACAGGAAATAAACACAGTCCTTACCCTTAAGGAGTTAACAGTTCAATAGAAAAGACAAATTGGAAAATAAGCAAAAAGTATTATAGTACAGAAATGTATCATGTAAAGGTGAGAATGTATGATATGGGAAAACTAAAAACATAAGATACTTGGAAAATATACTACAAGAGATATATCATGGCTATAAGATTAATTATAGCCATAAGGCTCACTCAAGTATCTTGAGGGGCTGATACTAAAATTGATAAATCATTTTATCAATATGATACAAACTGGCCCTGAAGATTTCCACCCCTGGCCCAGGGATTTCCCAGGAGACAAGGTTGCTTCAGCACAGATGCAACTTTCATGAACCTTAAAACAAAGCTTACCCTTGTAAGAATAGCCTCAACTCCCTTTATGAGAGAAACACCTGGTAACTGACCAAGCTGAATACAGGTTTTAAAAAGGGGGAAGGATCTCCCAAGAATGGTCTCTGGTTGGAGACTCTCTTGATCATCTGAGCCCTGACTGCATCTGGTTTATGCCCCTAGCCTCTTCCCACTGATTGTCTTGTAAGAGTGATGCCAGAATAAGCTATTTAAGCATCATACAGTCTCTAAGACTCATCTTTGACTTGAATAGAACTGAATGGGAGAAGTCACCCCTAGGAGAGCTGGTTAAACAGGACCCCCCAACTACCACCCCATGAACATCACAGAAGACTTTATAATGTATGTGGTATTTGAGCTGGACTTTCAAAGAGAACCATGAATTTGTTAATCTGAGAAAATAGGAGACCTTCACAGAGGAGAATAAATAACATCATTGTAATTTCCTGCTTAAAACTCTTAAATATTTGTAAGCACACTTAGAATAAAATTTAGACTCCCCGCTTTGGCTTTCAAAACTCTGCCTGATCTGGCCACTACTTACCTCTCCAGTTTCTATCTTTTACCATCTTCTCCACCCTTGTGCCTCTGATCACTGGTCTTGAGCTCCCTTCAATGCACCATGTTAATTCTTCACCTCTGGCATTTTCACTTTGCTGTTCTCTCTTCTCATCATATTAACATGGCTTTTTTACTCATTTATGTTTCTGCTCAAACATTACACCTAAGAGACACCTTTTCAGACCACTCTATCTAAGAGTATCCCCAATGCTAATTACTTTTTAGCTTATTGATCACTGTTTTTATTTAAATAGTGTTTATCTTCCCATGAAACTATATTTACCTGTTTATTATCTGTTTTTCCATAAAAATAAGTCTCAGGTAGGCTGGGCGTGGTGGATTATGCCTGTAATCCCAGCACTTTGGGAGGCCGAGGCAGGCGGATCACCTGAGGTTGGGAGTTCAAGACCAGCCTGACCAACATGGAGAAACTGCACCTCTACTTAAAATACAAAATTATCTGGGTGTGGTGGTGCATGCCTGTAATCCGAGCTACTCGGGAGGCTGGGGCAGGAGAGTCTCTTGAATCCGGGAGGTGGAGGTTGCGGTGAGCCAAGATCGCAGCGTTGCACTCCAGCCTGGGCAACAAGAGCGAAACTCTGTTTCAAACACAAACAAACAAACAATTCTCAGGTACCCAGGATCTTTTTCTTATTCACAGCTGTTTCTCTAAGTGCCTGGAAACATAATAAATCCTATAAAGATTTTTGGATGAATGAAGGAAAGAAATAATAAAGCTCAATGGGACAGTCAGTAAGGAATGACTTAACAGATAAAGGTACAGATAATGCCTAAGTTATTCTTTCAATTTAAATTAATCTGATGTTACCTAAGAAAGGATACTGTTTTTAAATAAAAATTTTTGATTGTGTGGTGGGAATGTTTCTATGTTTCAACGTAGTGATAGAGGTACCTGTACCTAGCTTTGAAGTAGGTCAGTGTTTCACAAATGGTAATTTTTCTAAGTGCTTGTTTCAAAATGTCCTGAATTTACCTACTTCCACAGGCTTCCTCTTGACTGCATTATTTCTAAAAGCTGCTAAACTTAGCCTGAGATCTTTAATCTAAGACTAAATAATAAAACATACTTAAAATACTGTGTAGCTTACAGAGTTACTATTAACATTATGAGAGAATTTACCTTTTAAATTACAAGTTAAATGGTATATTAACATTTCAAAGGGAGCTTGTAAAACCAGAATGTATTTCTATAGATGTCACTGATTGATCTTAGTTTATTTCAATGTTTAAAAACACATGAATAGACACATTTCCATTTCAAGAAACTTACAATGCACTTGCTAGATTAAAATGATGAGATTTTCTGATATATGTCACAAAATCATTAAAAGCAGGTTATGTGACTGTTTAGATGAGTTGCTATTCCTATATATATACTGCAGAACTAATTTCAGTTAAGGTCATATTTTTGCATTACAAACTAAGGTAGGAGGGAAAAGGGAGATATAAGTGCTGTTTTAGTTCAAAATGGACTGACATTGTACTGTACTGGACTCATTTGAGAGTATGGACAGAAATTATAGACTAGAGACTAGGCACTTCTTGCCACCTAGTGTCCTCTCACACTCAGCTCCTAAGAGAGTGACTTATCAGATAAGGGAGTGACTTTTCTGACTGGTGAACTTGGGAAAAGAAACTGAGCATACTTGGTCCAGTATCTTTGTGTTACAGGAGCTAGAAATTATTTAGGTAGATAGATAGGGTGAGTCCCTGGCAGAAAACTTCCTTCTAACAAAAAGCAGCACAGAAATAGCTCCCTTTTTAACCTCAAGCAGGTAAAAAAAAAATCACTTCTTTTCTAACAAAGAGCAGCCTGGAAGATCAGACTGTACAACACAGATAAGCAACTCAGGCACAGAGTGGGGAGTTTGCTGAGTAATCACCAAACTTCCCACACATACGATGGGCCCAAGTAAAAACAGTGGGCCTCAATAAGCACATCCCTTTCCATTTAGGCACACTAAGATAGGAAAGCTGGAAGTATGCACAGGGGAGATACCTGCAAGAAGGTGCCTGGGAACAGGCACAGAAACTCTTCCCTCCCTTTTAGCACACACCAAAAAACAGCACAGAGCAGATAAACTAAGAGTGTGCCTACTTGACCAAAAAATGGAGTGGGGACTGATAGAGACTCTGCTCTATACAGATAGTACCCTTGGTTCTAACCAGTTCTTGGGGACCTAGGAAGGTAAGACACACCCTCCTCACCAGTCCATTTATAAAACCCTGACCTTTTTTACTACAACTCAGCAGCCTATTCCGGACCCCTCTCTGTGACAGAGAACTGTTCTTTTCTTTGGTCTAATAAACTCCTGCTCCAGTCTCACTGTGTGTGTGCATCTACGTTCTTAATTTCCTCAGCTGTGAGACCAAGAACCTTGGTATCTACCCCACACAACAAGGCCATTTTATACTTGGGGGCCTGTTGGGATTTGAAGGTAAAATCATCGGAACGGTGAGAATAGGAGCAGACTCTATACTTTCATTTGTGAGGTTTCTCATCCTCAGTTTTTATTCTCTCAAAGAACTATCGAAAACCTAGGCATCTGACAGCTGGTTAAGGAGCCACCACGGCAAGCTGCTGGTCTTGAAGACTCAGAGGAGAGGCTTGCTGGGGAGGACTTAGTCAATCCCCCAGTGTCCTCTGGGTGCTGGGAATTTTGGCCCTGTTCCAAACTAGTTTCCTTTCATGGAGAACCTGGCCATCATGGGGAGCTGGAATAGGTCCTGGAGCAACTGAAAATTTCCGGCCAGGGCTACACTCGTGTTATCTAAAGGCTGCTGGGCTGACCCCAGCCCCCAACTGCCCAACTAGGTGTCGGCCCACAGGATTTCCAAGCTTTCCTACTGCAAATCATAACTTTCCTCCTTTTTTTCCCCACAGTCACCATGTCTCCCATCGCCTCTCTGTATGCGATGCCCGGGGAGTTTTTAAAGCTCTAGAAAATAATTCAATTAGGAGGCTTAATAACCACCTTAGAAACCAGGAATGCAGATCAAAGGATTGCTGTTTTTGTGACTTTCTACAGATGGAGATTTTCCAGTTCTCCTTTTTGTGTCCCTCTGCTAGAGACCAAACTTTATGTCCCCTCTGCAAGTGGGAGACCTCTGCTTTCAGCAGTGAGGAGAAAAATGTCCTCGAAAACAAATTTTAGTTTCAATACTCTCTCCATTATTAGGAAGGCCACCATTTTACCCTTATGTTCTCTTGAGACACCTGTTCTGCCAGCAACTAGAATGGCATCTAAATAGAATGGGGATTTTGTGTCTCAAAGTTAACTGGAACCACTACCTAAAAATAAATTCTCTAGTCTGGTCCATAATAGCAGATTATAAAGCTCAATCCTGTACACTCCGTCCATTAAGAGGCCTTGCCCAAATGCAACTGTTACATAGTCTCTCCCGAGACCCATCCATCAAGGAGTCACACAGATCACGCAAATGTAAGAGGTCAAAGGGTAATCACAAAGCAGAGGACAAAGGTCACATGGAGTAGCATGACTAGCTCCATAGCTTAGCTCCTCTGGTACCATGGTTTGATGATCATACCTGCAACCATGGGTGGCACATATGGTGCCAGGACCCAAGAACTAAGGAGGGAGAACAGTTGGGGGGATGCTCCCATTGTCTTTCTCCTCTACCCTGGGTTACACTGAAAAGAACAGGGAGACTGAGGGATGCCTCTTGTGTCTTTTCTATGTCGGTAACAAGCCATCTTTGGCCTGCAGTCCTCTGGAGTGTATTCTGAAGCACTTGAATTTCTTTGACCTTGAGATTTGAAGAAAAAGCAGCTCATTTTCTTGTGCACAAGGACATGGCCTTCTTACCATCTGGAAATAAACAGACCTGGCTGGCTGTAGGAGCCTTTGTTTTAATCTTACCCAACAATTAGATCTTGTTTGTAGATGGGAGGGCAAGTGGTCCAAGGTTCCCTATGTACAAGCTTTCTTTGCCTTGCAAAGAAAGACAACTCAGACCTTTGCAAGCTTGCATAATCAACTAAGTCCTCTTGGTAGCCGTACGGGGCAACTCTGCAGAGAATGTTCCCCTAAGTCAGAAAAGCAAGTTTTTAAGGAGCCATTGGAG